TCCGAGCAGTCCGTAACGTATCGGGCACACAATATGTGAACGGTCCAAGTGACATAGTACCAGTGGCATATTTAGGCTCCAGGTTAGTATTGCCTCTGGTCAAAACAATATACCGCATGATAGTACTATTATTACTACTACTATTAATAATAATAATGGGCATATTTCTCATCAAATTAAAATTTGTGACAATATTTGACACAGAACATACACGCACATGGGATGTCATGCTCTTGCAAGAGCAATATCAGGTTCTCTTCTTATATTTGTCTGCATTCCTGACAAGGTATTTGCCCCCTATGTTTGTTTTATTCGATGGTAGGAGGCACATTTGCAGTTTGAGTATGTTGTAGACACTGAGGGCTAATTACTTTGCGTAAAGTGGTTGTACTACACCCATTAGACGTTATCTGGTCTTTCACTGACTAGACGTTCAGGTGATCCCCTCGAAAAAAGGACAAACTGGTGTCCAGGTCCACGTAGCTTCTCAACTTACTGCGAAATAATTGCACAATTTCACACAACCTTATTGTGAATGGCAACCGCTTCCACAGAGAAGCATATATGGTGCAACGAAAGTCAGACCGCAAATTTATTCTGCATGGTTTTATAATCGGTGAAAGGTATTTGTTACCTAGGTCACCGCGTTTATTTGTCCTGCAATGTTAAGGCGGATCGATTGCAATGGGTATTGCTCTAAATCAGATTGTACACGTCTCAAGTTATCTTTTATGATTCGCAGCCAAAGTGGTTCAACATGGAGCTGCTGCCATCGCTCCCGAGAGTTTATGATACAATTTTTTCGCAATGGTTGGCGGCATTCGGTTTCGGATTTGCCTGTCACTGTGGCCAGTCACAAGACCCTGCGCCTACAGAGGGACCATGGGTGGCTTGCGCTGCATCACCCAAAGCTCTAAGCACACACCCCACATCCAGTGTAAAGCCTAAGGAATAAGACCTGGAGGTGTGTGGATAGGAGCCACCTTTTTATCATCGGAGCCGGCCCACACTCCTTCACAGGCAAACACAAGCACGCTGTATTTGGGGAATCAAGCGCACACAATGCGGTGGCTGGATCGTAGTCCGCTCCACACTGAGTGCATGGAACCGCTCTTTGAGCCTAGCACGGCCACAAGTACCGTACCCCCGTCTCCTCTACCAACGACCAGCTGTCTGCTGGAGCCAGTATGGACAAGGTAGTGGATAATAGACAAGTAGACATTTTGTCAGCATGCACACCAAGCGCAACTACACCTGGGATATCAAGCAACAGCCAATCACTTGAAACGACGACATCAAGTAAAATAAATCGAATAATGCATACAGATACGGTGACATAGCTCTTCCCTAAATGTGCCTATGAAATAAATTGGTTACAAGCAAATCCGCAGGAGGTACAATACATCAGAAGATATATTTAAGAAAATGCCACAAACGCGGAAATGTTATCGATGTTAACTACACTTAGCTCAAGCGACGTGTACAAGTCTATAGAAGATGATTCGGGTATACATTAGTATGAGTTAAACAAGTATTAGGACAATATAGCAAACCTACTACCTGAACTAAAGTGACTCAGCATACAAGCACGCGGTTACTAAATCCAATGCAGCGTACTTAGCAACGCTGCACCGGTTCTGTCTACGTTCTCAGCTGGACTCGTCGTCGTTTCGTTGGTGGCCCCGAGTGGCCTCGCTCATGGCTCACTAGGCCTGCCTGGCTCAGGCACTCTTGACCTCATGTGCTACAGCACCATACGCTTGATGTCGATGGAGTACAACTTATCGGTGTCTGTCGTTTTCGCAATTGCTGCTTTTTCTCTGCAGGCACGAGGGCTTTCTCTTGCGATTTTGCATTTGTCTTCGTAATTGGATCGCGCCATGCACGCCGATCAACCGTTTTCGGTTCCCATGACCTGCAATCAAGATTAGAACGTGAGAGGCTCACTTTGATCATGTCCTCGTAACGAAGCTTCGGTTTCTTCGCATGCCGCTTCCCCAAACTCGCTTGACCACGTAATAGCTGCTTCGGTATCCGCGTCGAATCCATACGCCACACGATCAAGCCACCTAAGCTGTCTCAGCAAAAGTATACAGTTCACTGCATACTTTCCACCTTGTCGCAACACTTCCATGTCCGCACCTTTGTCGCACCAGCTAATGCGCAGGATCCGTCGCAGACACTGTTGATGATACCGGTCGAGATACCGCACATCCCGCCGGTACATCATCCACGTTTCGCTGCGTATAGAAGAACGGATAGCACCATGGATGTTTTCAGCATCAGCTTCGTGCCAATGGTAAGCTGACGGTTGTTCCACACTCGGTACTCTAGCTTCCCGAATACCGTCGCTGCCTTCTACACGCTGATACGCAGCTCGCTGTGTAGCTGCTGGTCAGTCGACATCACACTCCCAAGGTAGAAGAAGCGGAAGGTGGTTTCCAATACTTCAGCACCAATGCTGATTCGCGGCAATATTGAAGCTTGCAACTCCGGTGAAGGCTGGATGAGAGAGAGTTTTGTTTGTGGTGATGGTGAGCCCGAATTTGGCCGCTGTCTAAGCGAGAGCACTAGTCATGTGCTGCAACTCATCCGCGCTGTGTGGAAACAACGCACAGTCGTCAGCAAACAGCAGCATACGGATAGTTGTCTCACAGACTAGAGTTCTCGCATCGAAACGACGGATGTTCAGCAACCCACCATCAATACGGTGCTCCACACGAACACCGTAAGCACAAGTGGCATCGAAAGCACAAGATAACATTGCATGAAGATATATATTAAACAGGACAGGAGCTGAGACGCAGCCTTGCTTCACATCAGAGACAACTGCAAAGTCATTTGATGTCTCTCCACTTTACTGCACCTTCTCCCGCATACCACTGTGCAAACATTCGATTAAACATACGCGGGCAACCAAACTTATGCAATATCATCCACAATGCCTTTCGGTTCACCGTATCAAATGCTTTGGTAAAATCAACAAACAAGGAGTACAACGGCTGGTGTCGTTCTCTGCACTACTGCAACTGACGAGCCGCAGACACCATATCTATGGTGATGGGACCCGAACGGAATCCACATTGCTCTTCCGCCACGTTCGGTTCTACAACCTGACTGACGAGGCGGTTGGGCAGGATTCGGACAATCACTTTGCCCACACAATTCAGCAAGTTGATACCACGGTAGTTCGTGGCACATTGCTTGCTTCCTTTGCGCTTGTGCTGTGGGAGCACAAGGGCATACTTCAACTCAGGAGGCACCTCCTCCTTAAGCCGCACGCGTTGTACCAAGTGGTGCGGCGCAGTCACTAAGTCGGGTCCGCCGTGTTTCAGTACTTCAGGCAGGATCTCGTTGGCACCGGCACACTTGCCGTTTCGCAGCTGGACATGCGCTCTCTGCGTCTCATCCGGTGTCGGTGCGTCCGCCAGACTCGCCTTCACACCATGCTGTTTCAGGCCGTTCAAAGTAGGCCTACCGATTTCTGAACGGTTGTTCAAGAGACAGTCAAAGTGTTTTCGCCAGATCTGCATTATGTCTGCAGTCTGTGTGCAGGTAGCGCCTGAACTGCCATCGATTAGCGTTCTCAGGGGGTTCATACACCCCTTTCAAGCGGCCTTCGGCGTAGAATTCTATCTGCTTCGCCTTCTCAGTCCACCATGCATTTTTAATGCGACGGGGCTCTCGGGTCATTCGCCGTCGAATTCCGCGATACTTTCTCTTAATTCCCAAGCCACTGTGGTCTGCCACATGTGCAGCAAATGCTACATTCTTCTCTGACACTAATGCGTCAATCGTCGCATTGTTCTCATCAAGCCAGTCAGACAACTTGCAGTTTGCGCGCCGGATGGTTCTCTCTGCAGCAGCTGTCACCTGCTCGCGAATGTGGTGCCGCAGGTCGCCCACTGTGGCTATGCATTCCACATCACACAGGCTTACTGCCAACTTCTTCTCAAGCTCAGTACGTTTCTCCACAGTACCGAGGGAGAGAAGGTTAAATTTACGCCGATTCACGGCGGGTGTGCAATACATAGATTTACGAAAATATAAGTACAGTTTGGTCCGTATCGATTTTTGATCAGTGCCACGCTTAGCTCCCCGCTGTACTCGTGTCATGCGCACTTCACACATATCACGCTTACCTCCGAGGACATAGTCGAGCATGTGAGCGTGGCCACTCCGTGAGTGCGTCCAAGTTGCTTCATGTTTAGCTCACGCATTACTGACAATGCTTGCGTAGCGTGCCGAAGCATCGATACCAAGTACCGACGTACTGCTGATGCGTTTCCGTTTTTGTGTACCGGAATCATTGTATCAACTCCTTACTACTCTTCCACAGTCGATTGTTGGCTTCGGATAATTAACTTGACCGTTCCGCTTCACATATTCAGGCTTATCCCATAAACGCTTTGTCCCGTGACATTAAACCACTCGTGATTGAGCTTGCCACTTACACCACAGTTGCTCGTACGTTTTGTTCACTTGTTAAAGGTGGATCGGAAAGTTGATTTATCTGTTCCATTCAGCAAGTACTCCCCGTATCTTACCGGTGCCTGTTGTAGTCTACTGGCGGATTGATCTTTCTCTCTCATCACCTACCGTTTTTGTCGCTTTTACTTGTGCCTCCGTGACTGGTTTTCGTAGCAATGGGCATCGACTTCACATGATACTACATCTAAAAACACCAGTAGTATTCTTCTGTACAGTGTGTTTTTTCCTTACTGAGAATTGACATCTGAGCTGTGCTAAAACACTCCACCCTCGTTTCTTTCACTCTGGTAAAATCCTTATGTTGCAGTGAATTTCCACCCCATGCATCTTGCTCTGTAATGCACTAGCTCCTCCATAGTTTTGCGTAACCGAATTCGTGCTGACTCCCTTTTTCCTGCCTGTTTACTCCTTTTTGTAAGGATTGTGGTACTTTCTATCGACTGACTTCTCCGGAAAAAAGAAAATTAAGCCGGTACCTTTTAAAGGTTACTCGTTTTTTCCACTTCTAGCGCGGGTAATGGAGGAGGATGAAAGTGTGCGCGTGCTTCAGAGTGACAGATTCTGTGAATTTTTCGATCGCGCTTCTCGCCTATTGGAACGAGCCTTGGACGATCAGACAGACGTCTTTGTGGACTACACCGGGGCCGAGCGCGACGCATTGGGGTAAGTTCTGATGCCAGTCGGCCTTCTGCTCTTGACCCAGGAGCTTTCCATTTTCTGACCGTTGTCCAACTAATGCATACCACTTTATTGCCGGCTTCATGCTTCAGTCAAGCGAATCATCACTTCAGAAGTCCATCCGCAGTTTGGACCTCGCAATCTTGGCGTATAAAGGGCTTCTGTACCCACACGTCTCGGACACTATCGGCAGCTGCTTCGCTGCTTAGTTTTCATTGTGAGTCCATATGACGAGTAAGATCGCTAAGTGAGCGCCATGCGTACTTGATCTATAGAATGATGGTATCCCAGATCGCTCTGCGCCATCTACCAATGACGCTAATGTGGTCGTTTGTTTTCGGATTGTCATGCTTCCTGAGCACCAACCAAAGCAATTTTACCTTTCTGTTCGATATGGGGGCCGCTAAACTATGGGCTGCGCATAGGTGAAGAGGCTGATCAGCATACTTAAAACTGTAACGGCTACCGAAGCTTTGCCCAGAATCCGATGCACTACCTACTTGAGCATTTGTGTCACCGGTAACAATAATTATATCACTATTTTTCACTAGGCGATACGGTCCCTTTTTGGTTTCTCTCAGCTCGTGAACACTAAGTATAGCTGAATGTAAAGCTGTCTCCTGATCAACAAGCTCAATTTCAACGCTCACCAAGAGTTTTGTCATAATAGCTTGCGGATTATCAGCATTAACTGTTTATCTTACGGATCGCATCAACACTAGGTTCGAGACAGAGAAATTCACTGCACGACTGCAATTGACAGAGCTGATCTTATTAATCGCTCACAGATACAGATACATTGCAGGCGTAAAGGAGTCCTCATTGCTATGAACTTAGTAACTAGTCAAACGGGACGTATGCATGGAACCCAGCAAGAACTGGGCTCTGGACATATTATTACAATCACATGCCATTCTATTGTGGAGCATTTCACACTACACAGACCCACTACCGTCCACATTGTGATTAATCTACTCCGGACACAAGTATGCAATTGATCCTACCTGTTCATGTGTGCCTTGCGTAAAGTCCAGAACGAACGTAACCCTTATTAATGTCCGTGACTCGACCTCAACGAATTCCTAGGATCCGTTCGACCGGGTTGTCCTCAGTGCTTTTGCCATAGACCTGATGTTCAAAAATGCGCGAAGATCATATTCTCTGTCGACTGGGTGGCTGAACGCATGCTGCCATGCTGTGTGTATATATCACTGAGGTAACACATATCCATTTCAAGAGAGCGTAGTTTGATTTAACACTGCCTGTTGTGATCCATTTGACAAAGCGTGCGGGCGTGAAATGGAACAGATTACTTACATCGCTGACGTAGTTGCAACGAAGTCAGCGTGAATGCTACGCTACGGATACGCACTCTAATAGAGCAATTTTTCTGAAACCTTCTTCATCTCCAGCCCTTGACTCGATGCTCTAACCCACAACGCAGTGGGTCCCCTATGATTACTAATGCGGAATGCCCTCACCATCAGCTTGCTATCCACTGATGCATCCGCAATCACGGTCAACTGCCGGTGACGGGATGTGGGGCTGCTGTTGAACACGGCCTGTCTAACCTGAAATGGGTGGTCAGATCCCAGTGAACGATAGTAGATTGTACCCCCCTCCCTCTAAATTGCTATACCTTACTTCTGATATTTTCTTTACTGTTTCATATATGTATTTACCCTCACTTTATCCGCATTTTGCTGTTTAAACTCTTAGAGTCACATGTTTAGCAGATGGATACACCGCACTTCCATCCTTACTCATGGTTGAACAACCGAACTGGGTCGATTAACGGTCTGACATTTTGTGACAAATCTCCTCCACTTTTGAGTCTGAAACAGAAGGTACCCTCAGCAATCAGCATTCCATACACTGGTTTCGATGCTTATTTTCTTCGGTTACAATTTACGGTGCACTGTCTCTTACATTTACGACGTTGATTTTACGTGACCATTCCTCCGTTATGACTTTGGGACTATTCCCCTTTGTTTTTACTGACAAACCCTGATTGCCCTCCGTGGTCGCTGTTGCAACCCGGTACTAATGGGACGGCACATTTCGAGAATCCATCTATTTGACCAAGTCGAACTACAGGCCTGAAGTTGGACAATCGTCCTGCATCAGCCCGTGATGCCAAATGCGGACGCTGCTCTGGCTATGGCGGAGTGTTCAATAAGGTCATCGATAACGGTTGATCGCTTATCATTGAGGTTGGGTTAGTTAGGATTGATCTAACCCTAACAGTGGCTATGGATGCTCCATACTCCCAATTTCCGTTCTGTATCGCTTGACTCCAGTCAAAATGGCGGTCTTTAGCCCTGGGTCGTTGCCATGTTCTTGACACTAGCCTAACTTAATAGCTCCTCGACGGCTATTGTTTGCTTACTCAATCCCGCTGCTGTAGTGAATTCTTTTCTATTTAGGTTCGTTTCATTTTTTGTGTTATTCGTATCCATATGATTTGATGTCACTGCATTCGCGTAGTTTAACAGCCTTTCGTTGCGGAATATGTTATGTCAGCGTATCTGAATTCCTTTCCGCTGCTATGAACAGCGGATTCATTTCCGCCCATTTTCGCTATTGGCAATGTTCAAGCTCGGGTAGTACTGTCAACATCCCTGCAGCTTAAACTGCTTTTTCTACCGATTTGGGTTTCTAAATCCTGGAACATTCGGTAGGCTTCACACTGACGCGAGCGAAATTGAACTGTTTGCACCGAGTAATTTCCACTTCAGATTGGTGATCTTTCGTTTTAACGATGACAGCAGCTGTTTTCCGATTGTTTACTGTTCAACTCTGCTCGCTGAAATGCTTTTCTCCGTTGACATTTCTTCTCATGCTTGGTGAAGCTAGACAGGCAGGTGTGAACACATCACTTTCACATCTCGAAGCTACGCCAACGTGTTCAGTGAGACGCTTCTTTATGATCATCTACACCAATACTCTTCAACGCTTTCATTCATCTCTGTTACGCCGCACCATCGTATACAGTTTGCATTGATTTCCATGCGTACCAGTCTGACATGCAAACTTGAATTTCTCGGATGCGGTGCGCCGCCGTATTTATCTGTTCACGCCACCTCACGCCCTGCGCAGACCCATCTGTTCGGACCCATGCTTGCTTCTGTTAGCCTCGCTTTTCTGCACTTCGATCGCTCACCTTGACTCGATCTTCTATGGACTCATCCCTCTAGCGCACTAACCAGGAAGGCTTTTAGGCTCTGATTGCGCTTCATTATGAACCGGTCAGCACGCTGGATGCGTACGCCTTCATTCGATTGTTTACAAACACCCAGTACGCATCACATGCATATCGATCATTCTTCCTGTAGTGCTCTTTCGCACCGCACACGGTTTCCATTGATTCGTTCCGCATACATACTAAAGCAGCTGCCGTTGTCGCTCTTTACATCGCTTTAACCTCCTACACACGACCTCAGGGTAGAGTTTGTCGCTTTCATAGTCCATAATTGTAACCCTAAGTTTTCAACTGATGGGTGCATTTTCGATGTTCTTAGAACCTTCAGACCAATCGGAGGGGTTATTCTCCGAATCGATTTCAAAACCTTAGTTGTCTCGTTTGAACTGTTGGGCGGTTATTGGGTACGCATAGTTTTGCCTAGGTAAAAAGCGAGTAGAAAAGAAACAAGCCAGCTACAATCGTGATTGTCACTAACGTAACTGATACCTCGCCTAAAACGAGAAAGTGAAATCAGCACTCTTATTTCCGAAGTGGATCCAACCTTTCCGTTGCCTTGCTACACCTAGTGTATTTGTCGGCGCCAAAGTAGTTCGTACCCATATCGTCAAGTCGTAAATATCTAGCGATCTTTCTATCCCACAACTTTTCTTGGCCTATACACATTGCCGAAACGTTTTGTAAGGTTAGACGGTTGTTATTTTTCGCTCTCCAATTTAAGTTACTTTCACTATCACGTGATTTGATTAGATTTGTGACTGCACGTATACTGCCGCTTTGGCTCTACTATTCCCCTGTGATGTTCCCTTGGTTACTCAAACGTGACTGACTGCACATTGATTGTACGGTCCATAAAGCTTATTTCCAGATGTGGCGGATTGTCTAGAGAGTCCGTTGGAGATTTTATTGTTACCAAGTATCTAGACGCTTGTACCAGTTTTTCTCCAAAATTCTATAAGACCCCTGCTAGGAGGGTACAGTTTCTCGGAGCACGTGAATTGCGTTCACTCAACCAGCTGCCCCCAAAACCAGAACGAGGTGAGCCCAAGGTCAACCCGGCTGATGCTTAACGCACCGGAATGATGTCGATCAACGGACCACTGTTGATTTGAAATCTGCACCCATGATCAAGCGTGGATTCGGATAGTTCTGGCGATACAGTGTGCATTCTTCACCCGCATTTGGTTCACGTTCTGTTCTCCGAATTAACCGATTTCTCTCGTGCTCACGCTGCTCATTCTTTATTGCTGGGACTTGACCTACTCTCTACTCTTGCAGTGTCCGACACAACTATCCTCTTCATCCACTATATTGTTACCTATCAAAAACACCATCCATTTCCTCTACGCGCACCAAATTTAAGGTTTTATTTTCTCACCCTGCATCTTTTCTCACACCGCAATTCTGTTCTGCCGTACCTGTCCCGCTTACTTGTTGACTCAACCAAAACTATCAGTATACTGCAAAATTATTCGCTCGCGTGATATGTGTAGACATTTTAGACCTTTTTTCTTTAACAGTAATTTCATATAATTCACCACCCGCAGTGATAGTGTAATATGCTGAAAATGCACCTGCCGGGTACCTATAGCCTACTTTGAGTTCACTTGACTTGACTTGTGGAATCTTATTCACAAACATAACTAAAGTACAGTTGCTCGCTTCTACCACTACACCCCATGACCGATTTTGTTCTCGTTTAGGCTCATCAGGTGGAAATAGTGTTTGGATTGGAACTTGAGGGTTAATGGTTAATGGCTCACGCCTTGATCACTAGGCCACA